AGACTGACCGGCAAGGATTCCGAGACCATGCACGCATAGAGGAACATGGGCGCGAACAGACGCGGCCCCAAAACGAGTGGGGTACAACGTCCGACACGGGATACAGCTTCGAGCCTACGACGTCATAATCAATGCTACGACCGCCCTATTGAGAGCGTCTAAGCACGAGCTGCGTCACAGGCCTATGCGAAAACGAGCTGCGTAACAGGCAGCCCAAGGACAAGTACCACCACCACTACGACACCAAGTACGCCACCAAGACCGACACCAGGACCGACGCGACCGAGCAGCCCGAAAGGGTTACTGAGTACGCCCACGACCAATACGACTACGGCCGCGACGCCTGCGACGAGTAACAGCTACAACAATTTCTTCGAGAATGACCCGTACTCCTACGACCCCCAGGGTTACAGAACGTTGAGCACTACGAATTGGCAGCCGACGACTCCGACTCGGACTTCGGGGACTACGAAAAGAGCGCGCCCTCTGAGCTGCTACAGCCACCAGCAGAGCTACAATGGCCGCCAGACGACCCCTCGGGGACCACAAGCTGAACTACGAGGGCCAAACGCACAGCTACGAGAGTCACCAGAAGAGCTTCGAGGTGCACCTGCCGATCCACGAGAGCCACTGGGAGCCACAAGCGGAGCTACGAGGACCACAGGCACAACTACGGGAGCCACCAGAAATTCTTCGAGACCCGCCTGCAGTGCTACGCGGGCTACCAGCAAGGCCACGAGAGCGATCAGCTGAACAACGAGGACTGCAAACAGAGCTACGACAGCCACAAGCAGGACTACGAGGACTACCAGCGGAACCACGAGGACCACCTACTGCGATACAACAATGGCCAACAACCGAGCTACGTGGACCACCACCTGAGCTACGGGAGGCATCGGCTGATTCTTGAGGACCATAGGCGCAGCTGCGAGAGCTACGAGGGCCACCGGCGGGGCTACCAGAGGGCCACAACCACAGCTGCGCGGACTACAGGAAGCCCTACTCCAGATTTCGTAATAAAGGGAGGGGGATCTCATTTCGGGGGGGGTCTCCTCCAGGCTATCTTGGAGGGCCTGGGGGGTCTGGGGATGATGTTTTGGAGGGTTCTCCCACGGGGGAGGTCTGAAATGGCTTGTCTTGGAGGGTCCAGACCCCCTCCCTTTTATTACGAAATCTGGAGTACCTGAGCCTCCTGCAGAGCGCCTAGGGCCACGAGCTGAACGGCAAGGCCCAGAAGCAGCACTCCGAGACCCGCCAGCGGAACCACGAGGGCCACACGCAGAGCTACGAAGGCCACCTCCTCCTCCTCCTCGTCCGCAGAGCTACCAGGGCGACGAGCTGAACAGCAAGGGCCACCTGCTCAGCGAGGACAGCCACCAGCTGAGCTGCGAGGACCACGCGATGAGCTACTGGGACCGCGCGCTGAGCTGCCAGGGCCACGGGCAGGGCTTCGAGTACCACAGGCAGAGCTCCGAGGTAGCGAGCTGAACTACGAGAGTTACCAGGACCACCTGCTGAGCTACCAGGGCCCCAGCTGGACCTACGCGGACTACAGGTGGACACGCCAGAGCCTCCTGAAGAGCTACTTGGGCGACGGGCCAATCTGCAAAGCCCGGAGGCAGAATTCCGCAAGCCACCAGCTCAGAAAGAAGGGCCGCCTGCGGAGCTACGATGGACGCAACTTGAGCTACGCGGGCCACAGGCAACACCACGAGAGCATCCCACAGAGCTACCACAGCGACGCGCTGCACTGAAAGGGCGACGAGGGCAACCAGCTGAGCTACAAGAACCACCAGCAGAATTAGCAGGACTATAAGAATTACCCCAGTGCGACCCTACCTAGAAGTTGGAGCCCATGGGAAAGCAGCATTAGTTGCTATGCCATACTGTGCTATGCTATGCCATGCTATGCTGCGCTATGCTGCGCTATGCTATGCTATGCTGCGCTATGCTGCGCGATGCTATGATTTAATGTGATATGCGATGCTGTGCTATGCTATGCTATGCTATGAACGGCTATGATCTATGATGCGGCGCTGTGTTATGCTAAGTTATGATGTGATGCGCTATGCGATGCTATGCTATGATAAGCTGCGCTATGCTATGCTATGATATGCTATGATATGCTGTGCTGTGCTATGATTTGCTACGCTCTGCTATGCTATGTTGTGCTCTGCTATGCTAAAGCTCGGCGAAGCTAAGATGAAGGCAAGCTAAGCTAAGATAAACCTGAGCTAAGACGAAGCTAAGCTAAACTAAGATGAAACAAGCTAAGCTAAGATGAGATAAGCAACGCTAAGCTAAGGGGACGCAACTGGGGGAACCGCGGGGCGGATCCTGGGGGAACCGCCCGGGCCGGTTCCCACTGCCCGGCCCCTTTAAGCTAGAGGGTAAGAACCCTTCTAGGCAGAGCCTAGGTAGGGAACAAACCGAAGTACCTGCACACGCAGGACCACGACAAGGGGTGCCAGCCCGAGCAATCGGGCTTAAAGGCCAGCAGCGCCACAATGGCCTCGACGGTATTGTGGGCGTGCGGGGTGCTACCACGGAGCGCTGGGCACTCAAATCGGGACCGATGGCCACCAGCGTTAAGAGTACCACGTCGAGCCCATCGAGTGGATGGGCCATCGACCAGTACCCCAAGACGCGGAACGCCGTCATGTACCAAGAGAAGGCTCGAGCCTACCAGTATCACGATCCGATGAAACAAGACTACGTGCTCGAGAGCTTATACGACCTCGCAGCCTCTGACGGTCAGCCAGGGGTTACCCGGTTCTTCCTCAACATCTTCCACGACGAGAGCCTGTTCGACGTAGCGACGTAGTCTGCGACCGAATGGCGCAATCGTTATGGCGAGGCTGGTCCACGAGACGCCGCTGACGACTGTGCTCCAGCAAACGTTGCCGAATGCCTGGGACGTACGACGTCTACAGCGCTACGGACAAGGTGCACCGCGGGTGGCAGGGGGGGCGCTTCGAGCATCTGCCCCCTGAGAGGGGCAGCGGAGGCCCTTGGAAGCAAGGCGCGCCCCTTTTGCTCTCTGGCAGACGCTTCGAGGGAATTGCCCCATAGTGTTCACAGCAGTGCGACGCTCGGTGCTGGCTTGCTGGTGTTTCTGCAGGCTTCAGTTTTGAGGCCAGCTCGGCACCGCATGCCAACCGCGGTCTTGGAAGAAAGACAGTTGGCCATTGCGGTTGACCTCACTCGCCATCGCTCGGACGTCCATTCCCTGTGTTTTTTTGGTTTCGTGCGTGGTTTTTTCGCCAAATGATCGAGGATACTCCTCGATGGTCCTCGCCGAGGAAAAAGCGCACACGTCCGAGCGATGCCAGGCTCAGCGACAAGGTGCACCGAGCACAACGCCACGCGAAGGGTACGCCGCCCTCGGCACGAACTGCTTCATCCTTCGAGCGGCCTGGCCGCTCCCGCCGAGGCCTCCTGGATGGGGTCCGAGTAGATGGGGGTCGAAGGATCGCGCAGCATCGCCAATGCATCGCCGATGTGACGGCGATGCATCGGCGACGTCGGCGTGGGGAAACACGGGCTCCACATCGAGCCGCATCGTCGATTCACGGGCGACGCGGCGCGATCCTCCGACACCATGTGCTCGGACCCTGTCTCAGGAGGCATAGATCCCTCCGACCTCCCCCCCTCCCCTTCGGTGAGCATCGGACTGGGTAAAAGCATAAACACAAACTTTAGGCGCTCCGCGCGGATTTCCTGGACTGGGGCGGCGCCGGAGGCGCCGCCGGGCGGGGGGGGGGCAGCGCGGATCCAAGAGATCTGCGCGGAGCGCCAAAAGTTTCTGTCTGTGGCGTGTTTTCTTCCTCGGGGAGTGCGGGCGGCCCTCCGCCCTCCCCCCTACGGGGCCCCCCGAATACACACCACCACCACCTCCCTCAACACCCCCCTCTCCCAGGGAGGGCAGAGGAGGGCAGAGCAGGGAGAAGGAGCCACCGTGGTGGTGGCCCGCACCCCCCCGCCTCCTCCGCAATAGGGGTGTCCCGCGCCGGCCCCGGCGGAGGGCTCGTTGCAGGGGGCGCGGCGCGCCGACCATGCGGGGACGGCGGAAGCCTCTGCGAGAGAAAGAGAGATGGAAGAGGAGGAGGAGGAGGAGGAGGAGGAGGAGGAGGAGAAGGGGGGGAGGAGGAGGAGGAGGAGGAGGAGGAGGAGGAGGAGGAGGAGGAGGAGGAGGAGGAGGGGGAGGAGGAGGTAGAGGAGCAGAGGAGCAGAGGAGGAGGGGGAGGAGGAGTTGTTTCAGCAGATTCTCTTTTCACATGGTGAGTTAGGAGGAGGGAGGAGGAGGAGGAGGAGGAGGAGGAGGAGGGGGAGGAGGAGGAGGAGGAGGTAGAGGAGCCGAGGAGCAGAGGAGCAGAGGAGGAGGGGGAGGAGGAGTTGTTTCAGCAGATTCTCTTTTCACATGGTGAGTTAGGAGGAGGAGGAGGAGGAGGAGGAGGAGGAGGAGGAGGAGGAGGAGGGGGGGAGGAGAGAGGAGGAGGTAGAGGAGCCGAGGAGCAGAGGAGCAGAGGAGGAGGGGGAGGAGGAGTTGTTTCAGCAGTTTCTCTTTTCACATGGTGAGTTAGGAGGAGGAGGAGGAGGAGGAGGAGGAGGGGGAGGAGGAGCAGGAGGAGCCGAGGAGCAGAGGAGGAGAGGAGAAGCAGGAGGAGGGGGAGGGGGGGCTACTAGTCGCAGAGGATGGCGCAGGGGCGAGCGGCGAGGTCCCCTGGGGTCACGGGGCGCGGGCGGCGCGTGGGCGCACCGAGGGAGGGAGGCCCCGAGCGGAGGGTGTGGGTGGGGGGGGGGGGGGGGGGGGGCAATGCGAGGACAGAGCCTGTGCTTCCTCCTCCTCCTCCTCCTTCTCCTCCAACTCGTCCTCCGGCTCGTCCTCCTCCTCCTCCTCCTCCTCCTCCTCCTCCTCCTCCTCCTCTTCCCCCTCGCTTTTTCACGGCAAGCATCAGCAACATCCAAGTGCCGCCGGGGGGACCGCGGTCGTGTCCTGCTCCACGTGCATGATGAGGATGTGGTCGGGTATCGGAACCCGCCCTGCTCGAAGAGGGCGGGAGGGGCGGAGGCCGCCAGAAGGGGGAGCTGCAGCGGGGTACGCACGGGACGAATTGGCACAAGGCCCAGCAGAACATGACCCCAGCGAGGCACCCAGAGAACAGCAAGGTGAAGAGGCGGGTCGAGGAGGAGGAAGAGGAGGAGGAAGAGGAGGAGGAGGAGGAGGAGGAGGAGGAGGAGGAGGAGGGGGAGGGGCAGAGGAGGAGGAGGAGGAGGAGGGGGAGGAGGTGGAGGAGGAGGAGGAGGAGGAGGAGGAGGGGGAGGAGGAGGAGGAGGAGGAGGAGGAGGAGGAGGAGGAGGGGGAGGAGGAGAAGGAGGTAGAGGGAGAGGAGCAGAGGAGGAGGAATGGAATGGAATGGACCGATCGCGAAGCGATTAAAACGTCACCCAATCCGCCGCCGAGATCTTACTCGGCATAGATGGGGCTGTTACTTCGGCATCTTGCCGTCGTATATATTGTTAATATATTCGATTCGCTTCGGTGTGGGGGAGGCCAAACAGACGTTGCCCAGACCTCTGAGCTGAGCACTCCCATAGTATCCACACTCCTTGCAGAACCAAAGCTTGAGACACTTGTGATATAATAAGTTATGACTGACATGTGTGAGACCGCATACACACAAATATATGTTCTGGGTCTCTGTCTTCCCCCCCACTTCCCATATTTTCCCATATTTTCTGGGGAATCGACGATTAATTGTGTCTGTGTTTTTTTCCCTCCTGACTGTTGTCCTTCTTTATTTATGTAACGAATCCTCTGGCGAAGTGCTAGCCAGAAAATAGGAGCACGGAGAAACAATGGGTACGATGCACAGCAGCACATGTGGTCTAAATCCGACAGCGGCGGCTTTTGGGCAAACGGCTGTTCATCTCAAGTGGGCACTGTACTCGGCGACGCCAATTGTGAATCCGGCCCAACATGTACAATCACAGCTGTCACTCTTCGTGCCGATTGTTTTGGTACCCATATCTGCCCCTCGGTCTAATAGTTATGCCCTCCTCCCTGCTCCTTGTAAACAAATCATCCCCGTCGTGTCGCCAAACGTGACGCGAGGGCGGACCGGGCGTTCCAGCCGAGATTTTCCCACCGCTTGTGATCTCGAAGCTTGGACTGCCCAACAGTTACACGAGCGGGAGGCCAACCGCCTTCAAGATGGTGCTCTCGCCAATGGCGCCACGTACACTCGTCGGACAACGACGTTTTGTTGCATCTTCGGGGGACCTTGTCTGTCCCGTCGCGACCCTATCCACGTCTCATCCGTATCGAATGCATGTCGGCCTCGTCGGGTCCGTGTCGAATCCGTGTCTAATCCGCGTCAAATCCACGCCAACTCCGCGTTGAGTCCGCATCGAGCCCGCGTCGGGCATAAGGAAAAACGCCAATTTTGGAGACAGGCGAGGTCCCCCGACGATGCAACGTGAGTTCCTCTGCGCATCTCACGCCAATCATCCACAAAACACGTGCAACAACTACTCGGACAGAGGGCAGCCTATTTTCGAGACACGCTGCAGCAAACGACGCCGCCAACTTCGATGACCACACCCGAGGAAGCATGTAACACCCCCCCGGGGTTATCTTAGCACCGCAATTTAGTTCCATATTCCACGGGGGCATTTTCACAGAGCGATACCTTTAGCACCGCGCGCAAACAACAACAAATCATCCCAATCGGCGGCGGCACCCATGGGGCCAAGAAAGGAATCCCCAGGGAATGTCAAGGATCTTGCTAAGATCCCTGTGGCTTCCGAGGGAATGCCAGGAGCGTGGCTCAGATCTCTAGGAATTCCCAGGGAAAGCTGGGGATCTGGGTCGACTCCCTGAGGATTCCTCGGGAATGCAAGGGGTCTGGCTCAGATCTCTTTAGCAATTTCTAGGAAATGCGAAAGATCTGGTACAGATCCTCTGGCAGTCCTAGGAAATGCTTGGCATCTGTTTCAGTTCCTGTGTGCGTGTGCTACGCGTGCGTTGTATATATACATATGTATATATATATATATATATATATATATATATATATGTGTGTGTGTGTGCGCGCACGTTCGACGGCCTATTTCAAAGCCATGCCCCCTTCTGCGGCGGGCCAGCGTGAAATTCCTGAGGTTGCCTCTGGAGAGTTCCGAGGAGCCCCAAGGCAGCCCAAGACGGCCGAACCCATTGCTTGATACCTGGCTCCTCATTCCCTAGGCGCTCCCCCTCCATGTCTCCTCCCTCTCCTTCTCGCCCCCCCCCCACCCTCCCCAAAGGCCCCTCATCTTTCTCCTGCTCTCTACATCCTGGTCCTTCCTCCTGCCTTCACCTCCCCTCTTCTACCGCCCTCCTGCTCTTTCGACTCCTCCCTCCTCCTGCATCCATTGTCCTTTAAACACGAGCTCCTCCCAATCTCACCCCCTCAGACGTGTTAGTAGGCCGGGTCAGGCGCTTCGCGTGGAACTTCCTCTCCATCTATGTTCCTGAAGCTTGAGATGTGCAGCAATTTTCTAAGAAGGAGGTGGGGGCAAAATGTGGCTCTCGCCTTCAGCGCCGCGAGAACTTTCAAGTCAAGGATAGAGGTCGGCTCCTTTTCAAGATGTTGCTGCCTCCTTAGCGCCGCACGCATTCATTTTACAAGCTTGCAGCAGTTTCAAGGATTCGTAGGGGCGATATTCCAGGACATCTAATCTGGCACGATGTAGCAGTGTCAAAACTCAACAGTCAGGTGGAGTCGCGGTGTGAAAATCCAAGGAGTGACTCTCTCGCGTATATCGGGATTGTCCGGACGCAACCTGCACGTTGATGCGCGGCGCTGCATTTGAAGAACCTATGTTTGGCAGGGTTCAGGATGCCCAAACAATTTGGAAACATGAGGGGGGCTTGAATCGCACAAAACATATATATATATATATATATTAAGGGGTTGTGTTTTCCTTATGACTGGTCCTGGCGAGGCGTCGCTCCTTTTGGGAGAAATTCCTGTAGGGACATATCAAGAGGGAACTTGGGGGGAAGGTTCTTTGCAACACCGTTGATGCGTCTTGGTGATGCACGGGTCCTACTGCTTCTCTTCCACTTCCTCGTCCTCCTCGTCCTGGTCCTCTGGCCCTTCGCTGTCATCCTCCATCTCTAGCAACTCCGCATGCCTCTTTTTATCCTCCTCCTCCCCTCCTCCTTCTCCGTCCCTCTCCAGTTCTTCGTCCTCTTGGTGCCGCGGAGAAGGCGATGGGCGGGGAAGGGGGTTGGATCCGCTGATTATGCGTGGGGGGCTACCTGACGAGACGGTGGGGCTGGATGGGGGGCGCCGCTTGGCGTTGGGATCGGGGGCAGGACTGTTGGGACGCATGCGAAAATGGCATGGTCAACCAAAACCCGTTCGCCGGCAACATGCAGCATTAGAAAAATGAGAAGGACGGAAGATGAGCGGAAAAATGAGAAAATGAAAAAAGAAAAGGCGGAAAATAAGCGGGGGAGGACGGGGAGGGAGGAGAGGCTATGTGTGGAAGGATCGTGAGGGAAGCGAAGGAGGATCATGATGGGGAAGGAGGCGGGGAGCGCGGGAGGAGGAAGAGGAGGAGGAGGAGGTGGATGAGAAGAGAGAAGGTGCAGGATAACAAACACCCATGCTCGCCCTCCTCTTGTGGATGAGAAGAAAGGACGGAGCGTGGAGACACGCAGAGGGCGGGATGAGGGACAAGGGAAGATAAGAAAATGGGGTGCCGGGGGGCGCGGGGCCGGGTATGGACACGGCCGGGTGAGCAGGCTGAGGGGAAGAGGCAGCGGCAGAAGGGTGACGAGGGATAGAAGGCGAAGGGCGGGCAAGAGTAGGCAAGGTGAGAAAGACGAGGAAGAAGGCGGGGGGGGGGCGGCAACGAGGGGCAGGCAGGAGCGAAGTGAGAACGCGACGGGTGCGGGGGATCGACCGTCTCGCTCGGAGATCGCGCGCAGCAGGGTGCTCTTGCCCACGCCGTTGCGGCCAATGAGGCCGTACCTGTGCAACTTGCACCCCGCGCACGGATCGGGACGATCCCTCCTCACTGCCACGCCCCTGAAGAAACGGCAGACCCGCTTTATTACTGGTTCCGTTGCTCCGTTTATCCCAATTTCCCATCCCCTGTTCGGCAAGAGCTGTTGAAGAACTGCTTGTTCAACGGGCGCTCGAAAACACGCAGATCTGGAAAGCACGCCGTGGGCTACCAGAAAGTTCGCCCTGGTGAAAAACCCGACGCAACACTGGAGGGCGCCCTTTGCTCTCGTCGTGCATTGCCCGAAAGCTCGCGCTCGGAAATACATGTCTGGAAGGCACGCGCTGAGCTGTTGGAAGGCTCGCGCTCGATAAGCATGCAACGGTTGAAGGCGATCTTTGCGTTCAGCGCAAGCTGCCGCAAGGGAAGAATGTCGTGGAATGCTGGAGTGCTCGCGCCTGATTAATGAAGCGATGGAAGACACAATGGCTTTCCCCATGAACTGCTGGAAAACTCGCGCTCGGTAAAGATGCAACGCCGGAAGTCCGCCTGGCTTCGGCTAGCAACACTGTATTTTGCGCATGCTCACGACATCGCAATGCCATTCCCGATTAGTGCTGGCACATGCTCTTCCAGCGTGGCTGCTTCAAGGTTGATTCGGCGTTTCGACATTTGGCGGAAGGGAGGGGAGGGGGATCTGGCTCCTGACCTCTGCTTAGTGCAATTGTTTGCAGCAGTGCGTCCTACCGGGGAGACCCCACCTGCTGTAAACAGGCGCCAAAAAACAGCCAAGATCTACTCCATGGGGGGGGGGGAGGGGGGGGTTGGGGCCCCCGCAAATCGGCAAAACAACGAATCAAAAACCGATCACCAGTTGGTGGCCCCGCTGCTTGGACGCAACTACACGTCGCTACTCCCGCGCCAGCCTCCACGGTCTGATCGGGCACCGTCTTCCTCTTCTCGCTCTCTTTGCTCTTCCGCTTTCGTGCCCTCATTCGCCTCCGGTGCAGCCCACCTCTCGCCTTGACCGGCGCCTGACCGACTCGCACACTCTAGCGCCCGCGGCCTCAAAACTTCACGACGTCGCAGTTTCATTCCCAGTCCGTGCTGGCACGTTGGCACGTGTCCTTCCAGCATCGCCACCGCAAGGCGAGCTTCCGCGGGTCTTCCGACGGCCTCCGTCTGAGGCGAGGGACCAGCCTGACCATGCAGCAACGGGGAAGCGCGGCTGCTCAAGGCGCGTGCAAAAGCGCGCGCGCGTGCGGACCGCCAAGGTCAACGGGTGCACATGTCGCCGCGCCGTTTGGTCTCGATGCGCCCCAGAGGACGAAGCCGACACCGCAGCAAGCCCACGGCAATCCCTACGTCCGAGGCGGCGTCGGCCTGGTGGCCGCCGCGCCCTCTCCAAGACGTGAGGCCGAGCGTCGGAACAAATGGCGCGGCGACACATGCGCTCCCAATCCGTGCTGGCACCTTGGCACGTGTCCACCGCGGCCAACCCCACGGCGAGCCCGCCGTGTCCGAGGCAGAGTCTGCCCCTGGTGGCCCCGGCGCCCCTCCCCGAGGCGCGGGGCCGCGCGGCGGAACCGAAGCCTACAGAGCCTGCAGACGAATGGGGCCCCACGCTGCAGCGGGAGCACACTGCTGGAAGGGCGGGAGCACACTGCTGGAAGGGCCTCCCTCCTCCTCCCCCCTCCTCCCTACGCCTCCTCACCTCCTCCTTCCTCTCCTCCTCTCTCCCGCCTCCTCCTCCTCCTCCTCCTCCTCCTCCTCCTCTGCCGAGCATGCAGAGACCAAAGCAGCTCGGACCGATATTGACTGCTCCACAAAAACAGGCGTGGCGGGGGCGCGTGCTACGCCGAGCACATCCGGGGGGGAGAGGGGAGAATAGTGCTCACCGGGAGAAGTTGTAGGAGGAGAGGGGAGAGGTAGCGTGCGGCATGACTGTTCCACTGCCGCGCTCCGCGCATAACCTCATATTGTCCCGTGGACTCTTCCCGGAGCCGCCTTGGGAACCTCTTGGGGCCGCCTTCGGGGCCCTCCGCCCTACCCCCCCGAGATCATACCACACGGCCTTCGAGGCCTCCAAATCGACTCGAGCGGCCCCGACGACCACCAAGAAGGGCGAATATACGAAGGCCTCCCAGATGTGGTCGGAGCAGGTGGGAGGATCGCGCCGGATCGTTGATGCATCACCGATGCATCGGCGCTGCATCGGTGACGTCGACGATGCATCCGCGACGTCGACGTGAATAATATCGGCTGAACAACGAGCCGCATCGACGATGTATCGGCGATGCGGCGCGGCCCCCCGACCCTATATATCTATTCGGACCCCATCTGGGAGGCCTGGTGTATAGTATCCAAGAGCTTGCGGTGAGCCCAGGGGGAAGCGAGAAGGGGAAAGCCTTCTCAGGTGGCCGGGGCCTCTGAGAATACTCTGAGCACCTCCTTCAGGGGTGACCAATCGTCCCAAGTGGGCCCTGGAGTCCGGAGGGGTGGGGCCCTGTAGTCCCGGGGGGAGGGGGGGTCCTGTAGTCCGATGGGGGGGCCCTTTTAGTCGGGCGGGGCGGGCCCTTGTAGTCCCGGGGGTGGGGGGGCCCTTAAAGTTCGGGGGGTGCCTGTGGTCCGGGGGGGTGGGGGACACTGTGATCTTCGCGGGGCGACGTCCCGCTCGCCGACCGCGGACATGCGCCCCATGCCCCATGTAAAGGGCCAGGCAAAGTGGCCGCAGTTGCGCGCGTGGCAAAAAAGTAGAGTAGTTCTTCGGAGGGCCACGAAAGAAAACCATCTGCGCAGGACACCACTTCGTTGGGCACATCGGGGGGGGCACTTGATTGGCGGGGGTTGCGCGCCTGGCCGCGCCGACCCCCGGCGATGAGCATTGGAAGAGGGAGGGGGAAGGGGAAAGGGAACACGAAAGATGACGATACTGTTGTGTAGGGGGGGAGGGGAAGAGGGAAGGGGGACGGGGGAAGGGATCACGAAAGCGTCATCGTCGTCGTCGTCGTCGTCGTCGTCGTCGTCGTCGTCGTCGTCGTCGTCGCAGTCGTAGTCGTTGTTCAGGGTCGTGGCAATTGACTATCTGTGGCATCCCGTAGCACTTGTGCAGGACGTGGTGGCTGTAGCCCGGGGGGGGGGGTCCTTGTAGTCCGGGGGGGGGGGCCTGTAGTCCGGGAGGGGGAGACCCTTGTAGTCCAGGGGGGGGTCCTTGTAGTCCGGAGGCCGGGGGGAGGGGGGGTCCCTGTAGTCCCGAGGGGGTGGGCCCTTGTAGTCCGAGGGGGTTGGAGCCTTGTAACCCGGGGGGCCCTTCTAGTCCGGGAGCCCAGAACTATTGAGGTACTCAGAGTACACGATCAGTCAGCATCGAATCGGGAACTCAACTCGGATCAGAATGTGCGCCGGATCGGGCCGCATCGCCATGGAATCGGAATCGAATCGGATCGGCTAGGCCAGGATGAACAGAGACGCCATGCAATCATAGAGTCATCAGATCGTCGGAATCGAATTGGATCGACATGACCGAAACCACTATGTATCGCATCGGATCGTTCGCACCGACACGGACCCTGGAGTGCGGCCGGGCTTCCGAGAATGCCTGCGCCCTCTAACTTTAGGAGGAGGAGCAGCAGGAGGAGGGGGAGGAGAAGGAGGAGGAACAGGGAGGAGGAGGAGGAGGAGGAGGAGGAGGAGGAGGAGGAGGAGGAGGAGAAGGAAGAGAAGGAGGAGGAGGAGGAGGAGGAGGAGGAGGAGGAGGAGGAGGAGGAGGAGGAGGAGGAGGAGGAGAGAGGATGAGGACGATAAAGAGGACGAGGTGGAGGAGGAGGAGGAGGAGGAGGAGGAGGAGGAGGAGGAGTAGGAGCGCCGCCGAAACAGGCGGCAAGAGGCCCAGAGAGAGGCGCACGAGCGGCACCCACACTGTACGACACGCCCACAGGGCACGGGCCCAAGAGGATGCAGCGTGCGGCCCCGACGAGCCCCAAGAGGCGTCAGGCGAGCCTCCAAGAGGCAAGGTGCCCCCAAAAGGCTGACGAAAGGCCCCACGAGGCGCTGAAGAGGCTTCAAATCGCCAGGTTCATTCACATGCCATTTCCTTGTGAGCTTGTCCTGTTTTCCCGCTCGAGATTGCCGCTGGGCTTCCCAAGAGGACTCCTGGCCAGACCCCAACTGGTCCTCCCGTAACACATCTGAAGATGGCCCAAGCCTCCTCCCCCCGTCCCCCCCTGCTTCAGAAGGGAACGATGGAAACAAATATGCGGAACATCACATGCTCACGGCAGGCTCCGTATGGCTGTCTCACCTATCTTTGTCTAATACCACACATCCCTTGTCATGGCAACTCTCGCCTCAGAACCGTTGTGTTCCGAGGGGCTTCAGAGAATGTCTGCGCCCTCTCACTTTAGGAGGAGGAGGGAGAGGAGGAGAGGGAGGAGAAAGAGAAGGAGAAAGAGGAGGAGGAGGAGGAGAAAGACCCGTGTAAACCCAAAACTCATCAACGATGTTGGAGTAAACCACTCCCTCCAAGCTCTGTCTTCATAGGCCCCTACAATGGTTCATGTCCATTGATGGAACTGCCTCGTTGGAAGACACCCGTTTGAAGTCCTTGAAGCATGCCAAAACATCTTTCTCGGGATTCCAACGCCACGGATCAATCTGACTGTTGCGCCTTGACGATCCTGAATCGTGCCAAAACGCCATTCCTAGGACGTCAACACAAAGAACCATGGTAACTGTTGCACCACCATAATCCGGAATCCTTCCAAACACACAATTTCTGGTACGTTACGGCTCGCTCGAGACATCCTGTCAAAATCCTAAGAAATCCTGGCGAAACAAACGAATTAGTCTAGACATCCTCGAAATTCCTGCGCGCGGGACGCGGCACGCGCGAGACATCCTCGGAATTCCTGCGAGCGGGACGTGAAAACAAGCATTACGCCTGAGGCATCCTCTGAATTCTGGCCCCCCACGAGGCCCTCGCTCGAGACATTCTCCAATTTTGCAAAGCTAGCGTTTCGCACAAGCA